CACGTAGTCCAAGGGGAGAGAAAACTGATTGAATTATGTGCACAAGTATACCTGAAGTCTACATCCAGGGAGTCTGACTACCTGTCAGGAGGAAGATCACTGGAGGTTTAAATTGTCTGATTAATGATAAATGCAGTTATCTCCTCATGAGTTTTAGGATCTAGCCTTTACAAAACATCATCTTACTACGTCACGTGTGCTTTTTTTGTTCTGCTGTGCAAGTGTTAAATATAAAACTAGCAAAAAACACCCTGGTGCAATTTTTAGTTTGGCTTCGTATCTTCTTCGGGGCTCGATAATCCTCAGCACACTTTAAAAAAAAAGGCCTTCCTAACTCTGTCATCTGCCACAGAGATAATAATGTGGGAAGTCAGACTTGTGCTGCTGCTCAGCCAGCGTTCATTTAAAAACTCCTGACGACGTGTTTCCTGCTGCCAGCGCTCTCCCCGATAGTTTAATATCACTTACAGTTGTTTATTTATGACCCGCGTCCCCATCTGTGTTCTTAGCTTAATTACTTGGGGGTTATGTGTAATCGCTGACGGAGGGGCTGCGGTCGGAGGGGCGAGGCCGAGCGAAGGCGAGAAACGAAGCGGCTGAAAGCGGGAAGGAGGCGAGACGAGGAGGCGCGAGGGACGAGAAGACAATTAGGTCGGGAGGGGGTGAGGAAAAAAAAAAAGAGGAGCTGAAACGAGAGGAAAATGAAGAGGTATTAAAAGGCTTTTAAAGTGCAGCGTAATCAGAGGACGGCGGTCGTTATAGTCATCATCCACACCGTGAAGTAAAAACACCACAGCTGCCCGATTAGCTCCGTGCTGAATGAAACCTCCTTCATGTTTCTGTCCAAACTGTTCGTGTCCGTCATCTCCATACATTCAAAGTGTAATACTGGACTCTCCATTCTCCATTACAGCCGATAAAAAAGTGCATTAATAGTCTAGGATTTGCATAAACATATTTTAGAATATTTACCTTTTTTTTGACACTGGACTGTTGCATCACAAATTTCTCACAAACACATAAATCCAACATTAACCCACTTTTACTGCTTATAAAGTAAACCTCTCTTTGCATTTAAGGTCATACCGTGTTCTAGTCACTGCTTCTCCAAACCTGTTGATAAATTAGCAAACAAAGCACATTACACTGAACAAAATTAGAGTTTTACCGTCTTATTTTAACCCTGTTTTAGGTTAATACAGCAACACCCAGCCCTGATCGATAAACTGTATTCTCACATAAACATCTTAAAGAAACGCCTAGATTGTGGTGAATAAGGAAAGTCATTGTATTTACATGTAACATGCATTAAGATTTAAATTGAGAACATTTGACCGATCACGTGGACGGTTCGACCACGAGGCTCGGTCCGTGTCAGCTCGCCTCCCAGTAGAATAAACAGAACACAAAATGCATCTCTGAAGCTTCAGGATTTGGCCGATTTTTCTTTTTTTTTTTTTTTTTTTCAGGATTTGGCCGATTTTTCTTTTTTTTTTTTCTTTTTACTGAATATCTCAGAAAAGCCAAGAACTTGTAATCATGTCAACACTGACTTCAGAAACTAAAATAACAAAAATCTGTAATTTATCAAGGAGGTGTCTGTTGAGGTGTAGAGCTGGTGTTACGACAGTCGGTGGTTTATTGGACAGTAGGGTTGATTTCTCGTCAGGTGTCAGGTTGACCAGTTTTAGTGGCCGAATTTGAACTGTTTTGTTTATGTTGTATATAAAATGGGGTGTCTGGGAGGTGTAATACCTCTGAAGGGGCAGCAGTCGTACTCCTCGGAGTAGCTGGTCGGCTTTGGTCCGCTTTGGTCCCCGCCTGCATCTGACTCTCACTTGTGGCTTCTCGTAGCTGTTTGTATGCAACGGCGGTCACACGCCGGGCAACGGCTACGACTGGCCGGCTACACCAAGTGAAGGTAGCCGACGGGTCTCAAACCCTCGGTGAGTTAGGGCGCGCCTACCTACGCATACGAACACTGGACTCTGGATTCTGCAGCTGAAACCAGTAGATTGGCTCAGCGGAGAAGAAGGCGGCTACAGCAAGGCTCTGTGGAGCACACAGGGCAAGATGAAGCACTAAAGGACATCCGGGTCATCCACTGCATCTGTTTCTGTCTCCAGTCGTCCTGACCTGGTCTTGCCACTGGATCTAGATGGTCTCGGACGAGACCGTGAGGTCGACGGTGTGCAACTCTTCTTCACTTTAAACAAAGTTTTCATCGTGCAAGTCATCTATCATCTCAGTCCCCTTTGTATACAATACAAGTTATTGGGACAAGTGTGTGCAGATCAATAAAGGCGACACTGGAAATACGCTGGAAATGTTCTGATTCCTACAATGGAGCAAACTACGCCTGGACTGGAAGGACAGGGCTCGGTTCTGGAATAAGTTCCATGCTTTAGCCTACACTGTTTGAAAAGCTGTGCTCCCTTCTCTCAGATGGCAGCGTTTGCATTTCCAAGGCATTATATTGAGGCTTTAAACAAATATAGTAATGTTAAAAATGAATGTTTACTTCTTCAAAACTACATTAATATGAATTCTGTCCTACTGCTGCTCAACTGTCTGTAGAGAACTCACGAGCAGAGAGCGACTCTGCAAACACAACACTGCAAGTATCAAACGCTCACTGTTCATTTAAGTCAAATTTACACACATTCACATGCTAGAAAAATATCAGCAGTTTCTGATTGGTCGTACCTGAATGGACAACTTACCTGGTTCAGACAGAAAATGGATCCGCTTTCCTGCAGACGAACGTCCTTAGAAAGGGTCCAAACAAAAATGCAGGTGGCAAACGTCCAAGGAGCATGCAAAGTGCAAAGGCCTTAAACTGCTCTGTGTCCTCCATTGGTCAAGCCCAGACTTGTCCTGAGTTGTGAGCCAATCAGAACAGGGCAGCCATTGTGGCCTGGTTTAACCCTAACCCTTTGTCTCAAACGCTCTCCATACACTCATACTGTTTAATTCATGCAACAAAACTGACCTTTCACGGTGGTATCTTCTCACAGGAAGAACTTTGGGGTCAGCAGTGCTCAGAGTTTGCATCTTGCAGTGTCGACTTTTACGTACAATTAATTTAAACCACGAGTAAATCAAAACTTTACGACTGGACATCATAGGAACTTGCTGCAGAAGACTTCATCAGGATGGAGTTGAACAAAACATGTTGCCTTTGAGAGATGGTGTCAGTACTGCACCTGATGTAGTTCAGACTTTTCGTGTTGACATCTAATTTGCGTCGACTATAATCACAGTGACAGTGAGAGGATCTCAGAAACTAATGCGTGTATTTGTACAATGGATGTAAACGGCACTCCTACAGAAGCATTTTTCACCAAATTGTGTATTTTTCTGTGACTCTTGCAGGACTGCAGGACTCCAGGAGGCTCCCCGTGATCCTAAAGAGGAACAAACTGAGAAACATCGAGAGCTTAATCAGTGTTGCTGAGAGAGAACGAGCCGCTGCGGAGTCTGATAACACCGACTTTAATTGGATAACAGACGCTTAAGGGGCCTCATTTTGATCCATTTTTACACGAGGACACACCTCGCTATTGTACAATCCTAAAACCTTTGTGTGGTTATGTTGAGGAACACGAACAGCTCCAGAACATTTAAATACAGAAGCAGAGACATTTGTTGTGTCACGAAGTTTGATTTGGGAAAACGTTTGAGCAACTCTTACAGAACGTTTTGTTGCTGTGCTCCGATTGTGAGGTTCTGTGTATTCTGTGGCTGCAGAGAACCTTCAGCAGTCGAACGCCGCCACCTTCTGGACGACTGCAGGCATCGCTCACATGATGTGCACAGAAATAAATCACCAGCATTTTCTCACTTTAGGGCAGGAGTGTCGAACTCCGGTCGTGGAGGGCCGCAATCCTGCAAGTTTTAGATGTTTCCGTCTTCCAACACCCCTGATTCAAATGATCAGGATCGTTCTCAGACTTCTGCAGAGCTTGATGATGAGCTGATCATTTGAATCGGGTGTGTTGGAAGAAGGAAACATCTAAAACATGCAGGATTGCGGCCCTTGAGGACTGGAGTTTGACACCCCTGCTTTAGGGGAACTGAGTTGGACGCCAGAGGAAGTGCAGCGATGCATCTTTATTTCTTTGAGTAGATTTTTGTCCTCCATCACATCTCTGAAGCAGAAATATTCAAGTGAACACAACCTGCTTAAGACAAATTTGAAGAATCATTATCTTTGAAACCTGCCACAGCTTCAACCACACCAGAGGCCTGACTTTGTCTACTTTGCTTCCTTTCTCACAAAAAGACCTGATCTTCACCTCTACACACACACACACACACACACACACCACACACACACAGCATATGTAGTTTCTAATTTCTTTTTTAACTGATGCAAAGAAACTGGAAGTCAACAAATCCCATAACATGGCTGCAGGTTAGCATCATATTATTTAGCTTCGTTAGCAAACACTGAGTCATTTACAATTTACATGTTCAGAAAAAATACAAAAAAAATATTTGCCATTTATCCCCAATTGATGAACTTTCCAACCATGCAGAAAAATAAAATATGCAAAAATGTTGTTTCAGGAAAAAACAAATTAGGTTGGAGAAATAGGATTTAAAAGTCCATAAAGCATTTCTAATACGTATGAAAATATTCATAGAAAATACAAATAATACTAAAATGCCCCAAAATATAACATATCCAAAAGCTATTACCATTTCTGTCAACATTAATACAGATTTAGAAATCAGCGAATATACTCAAAAATATTAATAAAATATCAGAAACATATCAATATCTCTGTCCATGTCTCCAAAATAATAATGAAATATCCAAAAATATAATTCAAATGTCAAAAAAAATATTGATAAAAATGTCCAAACCATATGTTTATGTCTGTAAGTATTAATTAAATGTCAGAACTGCATATATACCTATGTACATATATATGTGTATATATATATATATATCATTTGTCTTTTTTGGGGAAAAAAGATTTTGCTGTTGCATGAAGTTAAATTTACTCCTCTACACGGATTTGTGAGATTCCTCGGTTGTATCATAGACGACATAAAGAAAAAGTGACGTTTGCATCATGTCACAACATCTTCAGTCGCAGTTGTTAGAAAATCTGAGTACATAAAACCAGTTTGAATTATCCTGAGAGACTTTGCAGTGTGAACTTTACACCTTTACCTTTCTAAACAAGTAAAACAATACACTTTACCAGAATTACAATAACAGTGTATCAATAAAATATTTAAATGATGACTCAGATTTATTCCAACTTGGGGTAATTCCCATGAATGTGGTTGTTGTGGTTCTGTGGGTCACGCTAACTTTGCATTCTTTGCTGTAGAGGGGTAACAAAATCCAGAGTATTGGGGCCATAAGGGGTTTTACGTGACTTCTTATTTCTGTGAACCTTGAACGTTATTATAATCCACAGAGCCACATTATTGGGAGTACAGCCAAAGAGTACAACCAAATTGAAATACGGCGGGTTTTTTTTTCATAGACGTTAAAGTGAATTAGCAACTGTTTTGACCCACTGCACAGTTATGAAATAAAGAAGTCATAAAATCTCAAGACATGTAAAGCAAGAGCAGAGAAGGAGGTGAAGCTCCTCCGATGCTGTTGGTGGACGTCACATCCATCTGAAGTGAGGAGTAGAGGACGTTATCTACGTCACCACAGGGGGCGCTGTTCAGAGAGGAGGCAGCAACGTTGGAAAAATCCACCTCAGAGTAATCGAGTTTACTGGAGTCGTCTTCAGTCTGGAGGAAAACAAGAAGATCAAAGTTGAGACTTTTATTTTGAATGTAAATTCACTTTTTCGTGTTCAAACTATACAACATCTACAGAGACGCTCAGAAAAGTTGTTTTTTATTGCACACATTAATCAAAATGTAAAAACACACATTTAATGTATCAAACCTCCACTAAACTACTTAGGTTCAATCTTGTTCTGTCCATTCTCCAGTTGTAATATACATCTCTATGCTGACGACACCATGTCGTACTTTAGTGCTGATAATGTACATTTTGATGTCAAAGCCCTTCAGCACTGCTTTGCTGTCATTTCAAACCAAGTCAAATCAAGTGTGTGACGTCCTCTGAAGTTTCTGCAGGAAGGTTCTGGTACATACTGATGTATATTTGCATCTGCATCTATGTTAAGCAGGAAGTAGGAAGAAACTGTCGCTTTATCACCACCAGAAAACGTCAATGTGTTTATATCCTGATTTAATCCCACTCAGTGCA